ATGAGGAGGTGCCCCCGCGATCGGAATCGGGATCGCTATCGCGGAGCCAACGGTCGACAGAAAAACTGGGAGAAAAAGTCGATCGAGAGATCGATCCTCGCTGACGTGGTTTCCCAAACGGTCAGATTTTGGGGAAGATCGGAAGAAGTGGATTAGCCGGCCGAGGAAACGACTTGTCGAGCCCTGAGTCTCGTTTATCTGGGAAGAATCGAGTTTTTCTCGAACGATTTCCCTGGAAGCGATGCTCCTCTCCCCTCGACGGTTCGTTCTACATTTTCGTGGAGAAGAAAAATCGAGGAAAAAAATTCCGGGAGTCTGAAATCCGCCGTTTGGATTCTCCGCCTCCGTTTCTTCCCTGGCAAAAACCCGAGTTTTGTTAGTGTCCCTTATTTTGCATGGTTTCTTTTTTTTTCCTTGTAGAAAAGAGAAAATCAGGAAGATGGAGACGAGCCGAAAGAAAGGAGTCCGGGGGAAGGGAATGAGAATTTACGACGCGCGAGGGCAAGAAACTGAAGAGCCTATCCCTGAAGACGCCTACCAGGCTCTTGGTCGAGGATTATCGCGATTATCGATGTGTTTACTCCTTCCGATATTTTCGGAAACCCGTGCCCTCTTCTGTTTGCCGACGTCCCCGGCGCCGAAGAGGAAGACGAAGAAACGCGCCCGGAAGACCTCTGAGAATATTGGAGATAATCGCAATTCCGTATTCCCGAGGTAAAGGGAAAAAAAAAAAGAAAACTCTCGTTGAACCTCGGTTTAAGATGGAGAAGAAAGGAACGGTGGCGGCCATACTTCGTTATGAACCTTCCCGGCCATTTTAAAATATTCACAAAGACAATCTTAATATTCCCATTTCCTTCGTATCTTCCGTTTAATCGTGTTTATTAATATTTTAAAAAAGACGCTTGGCTGCCGCGTGGATCCAAGATGGCCGCCGGATATCCAAAAGACGAAATCTTATTTTACGCCCAAAGTTTCACGGATTTTTCCTGGATTTCCCTGCAGGGTACGTTCCTCGTCCTGGTAAGGACGAGTCGGTCGACCTGGCACTCTCGTACCTGATGATTTCGGCAGTAAAACCGTAAGGACGCGGGGTAATGCAAGAATAAAGCCGGGGGCGTTAGGGTCGGGGTGCAAGAGTGCGAGAGCTGCCCGGGATCCGTGCTTTACGGCTCCTCTTTTGTGCGAAACTGGAGCAATTCCAGGTTTAATTGCCCGACGGTGCCCTTACCGGTAATACGGCAATCGACCCTTCCCTGGTCGACGTGCAAACAGCCTCGGCTGGACTTTGGGAAAACATCGCGGATATAAAACGAAAAGGGACCATCACCCTCGTTTCCCCGATTTTCCGAATTTTCTCGCCGGGGGGATGCTAGTGCACCACCCCTAAGAGAGTTCGCGTGGACGGTCCGGTTTACGGCCAGGTAAATATCGGCTCTTAGAATATCTTCGAGCGGATTTTTAAGGCCCGTTTACCGTTCCCGGGCCCGGAAAACCGAGCGGCTTTTCCTCGGCGTTGGGCAACATTTTACACCCCCTCGCTGTAAAACTCGACTAGCGTCCAGGGTTTATGGCTTCGAAGGTTTGGCCCTCCCTGATTTTCGATTTTCATTTACTAACCATGATGGATATCTTAAAAATCTCTCCCACGAGTGATTAGCAAGGGGAATTAATTCCCGCGCCTCCACCTTCATCTCAGGTGAGGTGACTCCAAGAGTCGCCGAATAGAGACGACACCGACCGAAGTAAATACCAGAAATAAAAATGAAAACGGTGCAACGCGTTGTTCTTACCCCGCGTCGGCATAAAAAGGTAATAATAAATGTGCCCTGTTATTATTTGTTATTTTTATTCCCCCCGAGGCGACATTTTTGGCCTCCTCTTTCCTCGATCAACGGGAGCGCCTAATGTTGTCGTAATACTGATTTAGTCGAGAAGCGGTGGAAAATGGAGAAGGATCGTGGCATCAGGGCCATTGTGCCTCCTGGGGAAAGTGGCACCCCGTGTCTGGTGAGAAATTCGACACGACTACCTTGCGTCTAACCCTACCGAGCCCCCGTGGGAGACTCGCGGACAGGTAGACCTCGTCAAAGGGTTGAGACCCCAGAAGCAACAATGAGCGTCTACCTGGCAGGTAGAACCGAGGGCTTTCAGCCTCGCCAGACCAAGGGTTAAGTATCGCAATGATTGCCAATAATCTCGCCATTGTTGCGCTCTTTTTTCCCCATTTTCTGAATTTTTTTGCCCCCCGATACCGGCGAAAGAAAAAATAGTACCCAAGACCCAGAAGCTTGAAATTCCCTGAAAATCGGGCGGGACAATAAAAGGAAAACCGCAGCCCTTTTCGCCCCTTTCGTCGAATTTTCCGAAGCCCCGATATTTCATTTCCGATTTCTTATCACGTGATTGATAATGTTTTGTCAGGGAAGTGTGTGCAGAAGTGCTCGGATCTCCCCCTTAATCCGTTTGATCCATTCCATGGATTTAATTCCAGGAGGTGTACCCTTCCATCCCTGGTTCCCTTATGTCTATTAAATTTGCAGAGATCGATAGATCATGGCGGAATAAAATCGGGGATGTTCCGATTTTATTCAGAAACAAAGGGCGTGTTCGAAGCTCCCCGAAACTGGGGGGCTCTCGAAAGAGGAGTCCAACGGAAAGTCGCATCTGTTTCTCCTCGTCGATAAGGCCTCTTTTTTAATTAACGGGGAGAAAAAAGAGGCCCTCAAGAATTATCAGGCCGATCGACGCTCTCCGAGAATCGAGCGGCACTCGAGATCTCGGATTTCGATTCCGAGGTTTTTGCACTTCGGGGTGAAATATCCTCCGGAGTCCGTTGGTTCGTTTTCTCCCCTCTCTCCGGATTTTTCCCGAATAATCATCCCGAGATGCAAAGCAACCGAAAAATCTTCCCCCTCCCCATGGGACTTTTTTTCCGATCCGTGGAAACACATGTGAGGAATTTCGGTCGCCTCGTCGAACCGATTGCGGTCGCCCCCCGTTTCCATTTTTTGGGGGCCCCCTCCCCAATTTTCGGGCACGCGCAGCGCACGCCCCTGCTGGGCAGGTGAGAGGGGCGCACGCGCTTTTTTCCCTTTTTTCCCCTTTTTCCCTTTCCCCGCACTTTCAGCCGAAAAACCGAACGGCTCCGTTCTCTGGCTCTGTGATCTGAGAAACAATGAAAAGTTCCGAATTTTCCTCCGTGCCCCTCTTAACTGATCGAAGGGTTTTCAGAGGGTGGAGGAAACCTCCCTCGAAAACCTCCTTCTTTATCGAGACTTTGAGACATTTCCAAGAGCACCCCATGTAACAGGTGGGGTAGTTTAAAAAATATTTCATTTCTTTTTTTCAGTCATTCGAATCGATGCCGATTACTCGGGCGTTGAAATCTCCTCGGATCGTCGCAATGTGCGTTTTTCATCGATGGCCTCTAAAAAAAAGGGATGAAATTTACATCGGGCATTAAAATTACCGCGAATAAGGGTAATGCACGATTTAGAATAACCACTAGTAAGGGTGATGCATGATTTATAATTACCGCGAATATGCGCAATACAGGATATTTCCATCGATCCTCTCTGAAAAATAGATACGAGGTTTAAATCGGGCATCGACATTACCGCAACTCGACGTAATGCGCGATTCGCATCTCCCTTGAACAATTGATGTTCAGGAGAGATGTAAAGTTTCGGGGAAGTATCGGAAATTGCGGCTCGGTAATAATGAACGAGAGAACTTTTTGCTGGAGCGTGGAGAACGGGCTTCTGGATATTCCGTGCAGCGAGGAAAATGGCCGCGGGGGTTGCGAATCATTGAACTTTGTTTCTCGAGACACTTTCCTACTTTGCGAATAAAGAAACTTCCCTTAGGGGGGAAAGAAACTGCAAGAAAAAAAAAAAAGAGAAAAAAAACCAAACCCCTCGCGAACGTCCCCGCGATTGAATTTAATTAATTTCCGGCGCTCCTAAAGATAATTCAGGAGTGTAACAAACAAATTGGTATTCCCTTCGAGAGATCTGTGCACTTGAAAATGGGACAGGAATCTATTTTGCGAATCTTTTTACCAGATTTCAAATGAACAATTTCCAGTGAAATAATTTCAAGTATCATTGGTTATAGAAATGTCGACTTTCGCCGCGCTTATAAAAAAAATAGTGTCATTTCCTCGAGGAAAAGAAACCGGAGGGAAGCGCCATCTGCGGGAGTCGGGACGCACCCCCCCGGGGGGTGTTACGCGCGTCCAGTCGAGGGTCGCGATATTCCGCAACGCACCCCGTCCAGCCCCTTCCCGGTCTACCACGCGACACGCAGGTTCTCCCCTTAGCCCGCCCTCACTCCGACCTCTCTGTCGCTCTCGCTCGACCCGCATATCGGCGTCTCTCTCTACCTCGCGGGGTCCCCCATCCTCGCGGCCGCCTCGGCAGGTCGATCCCCTCCCTCGCCCTTCCTGTCTCTCTCCTTCCCTCTACTCTGCCCATCACGCGATCCTCGTCTCGCCCGCATGTTGGCTCGCCCTATCCCTGTCTTTCTCCCTCTCGGGTTCACCCGCATCGGGCCTCTCTCTCGCGCTCTCTCCTCCCCGACCCTCGAGAAGCCCGCATGGAAACCGCCGACGGCGGAGTGGGGGCGCCCGTTGGTGGGGGGACGGAGGAGTGGGGGGTGTTTGACTACAGGCAGCACGACTCGACTGTCAGTTAGTATTGGGTTAGGTCAGCCCGGAGTGACATCGTCCTAGTCGCCCTCGTCGGCGCTCTTGTCGCAGTAGAGTAGTCATCGCGACGGCGATCGCACCGTCCGAAGGGACAGCCACCGGTATCAGTGTTCCTCTTCCCGTATTTCGGGCTTTTTATTCTCACCTTATCTTCGTCCACTCCGGGAAGCCATCTCGCGCCCCTCGAGGCGGGAAATTCGGACTCTGGCATGTGCTCGTCGTAAGTGGTCCAACGCTCCCCTGTGCTAGTGGATGGAGTGTCTAAGTGAGATTCATCGCGGCTCGTAGAATGGCACTGTCCTACCTGCAGGAGGCACAGATTAACGCAGGTGAGTTGTGCTCCTGACAAGATACATATACTCTACCGTACATGTACATATTTATAGACTTGACTCATTTCCACGAGGTCCAGAAAAAGAATCTAGAAATCAGCCGGAAAAACGGTGATTCTCTCCCCTCGGGTAGATATCCTCAAATTAGCGACCCGTAAGACAAAACACGACACAAAAAGACATAAAGACCTTTCCGGTAGTAATCAGACTCCCAAGAACGAGAAACCGATTTTTTTTTTTTTAAGGCAGTTTTCTCTCCAGACGGAAATTACCGAGCAGCGACTTTATAAGAATCTTTTAGAGCTTTCCCCCACGTTAAACAACAAAATTTCAATCGTCTTCCTGAATCATATAATATTTACTATATAGGTGTGAAACTTGTAACCGGGGCAAAAAAAATAATAGACACATATTTGACACTTCAACCGATAAATTAATTGGAACTCCGATTATTAATTTAGTGTAGGGTAGAAAAAAAAAAAAGGCCGAATCAAGAGCGGAGAAATACATTTTTTAGGCTGAGGTTCACCTTGAGTCGATTTTTCCCCATTCCATGGAGTAGACGTGCCTTTTCCGAGGGAAAAATCCCTAGAGCACCGTTTTACATTTTTTTTTCCTTTTTTCCCCGGAGAGAAGAAAATTGTAAATAATAAGCGAGGAGGAAGGACTCTCGTTGAACTTGAAAGGACATCACGGGTCGGGGAGTCCTTGCTCATCGGCGATCGTTATGGAGTACCGGGTCGGAAAAGTTGGAAAAGTCGGGAAAAGTCCCGACGAGTCTCGAAGGAAATGACACCCGGCCGTTGTCAGGGAAGTCGTTGACTCTGGTCGCGCGTGGCTGTATCGAAAATCGATCACGCCGATTCGAGGAGGGTGCTTCGATATATCGGCCAGGGGGAGAGAAGCAGGAGAAAGAGAGGAAACGAGAGGGAAAGGAAAAGGAGTTTTCCCCGCTGGAGATGTATGTACGTATGTACGTTTGTATAGAAATATATATACGGATATATATCTATATACACGTATATATACGTATATATATCAGGGTTGCGACCAATTAGGACAGGGTTGCAAAGGAGGGCGGTTCTCCGCGGTGTTGCCGGGAAACGGGCCGATTGTCGGGTGCAAGGATTCGACGGATGTCGAGGGGGTGGAAAATGGGGGAGGGAATTCTTCCTTGGGCCTACCTTATTGATTCAACGAGCCTCGTTACGAGTCTCTCTCCTTTATTCTCTCTCTGCTCTCCCCTAACCAGGTAAACGGCGAATTAATTAACCATCACGCGAGGCGCCCCTCGAGTAATCGCTGATAACCCTTATCAAGGGAACCATGGGTTGTGGGGTCTTGATCTGCACTGTAAAAAAGAAAGAATCAATGAAACGTTTCTCTAAGCACCGTGAACATTTTTTCTTTTTTTTTTTTTTTTAAGTTCTGGAGCCTGCGAGGACGTTCTTTCTCTCCTTTTCCTCGTGTGACGTCATTATCTCCTGGCCCTCCGGGAAGGGAACGTCCCCCTTTCGAGAATCCGCGATTTCCCCCGTTAAATGGGAAACGCGAGGGACGCGGCAACGTACTTTGTACGTCATCACTCTCGAGATGGTAGTTCGAATCGCGTCACCGAGTATGTCGCGTCGACGGTTCCCTTTTCTCGCTGAGATCGACTGTTTCGCGAGTTCTCGCATTCTTTCCCTTATTATCGAGCGGACATTTTCTAAATCTGGCAAGTGCGAGGATTTCCTTACCGAGTAGGGATACGGAGAATGCGATTAATCTCGTGTTAATAACCGCGAGTTTCGATGGGGTATACCGAGTCACGTGGTCCCGGCCTACGGGCGCACGAATAAAATTTCTCGCCTTAGACGGGACGAATCGAATCACGTGGTACATAGTGCTTACTATCGTCTTTTGTCGAAACGCTCGACTGTTTACCAAACAGTCGAGCGTCGTTGTCGAGCTGTTGCGTCCCCCAGCGTCTTCCTCGGACCGACATTTTCAAAAATCCAGCAAGTGCGAGCATTCTTCTATGACCGTGAGTAGGGATGAAGAGGGCAATTAACCTCCTCTCTGTAATCGGTAATAATAAGGTAGTGGTCGAGATTGATCTTCACTGTAACCGGGATTAATGGTGCGATAATCGCGTTTAACCTTCTCGATAACTGCGAGTACTCTTGACAAGTGCGATTAACCTCAAATAATAATGTTACGGTAGTGATCAATCTTCAAGGTAACCCTGAGGAATAACGCGACAATCGCGGTTAACCTCCTCAATAACCGCGAGTAGTCTCGACAAGGGCGATTAATCTCCTACCTAGATAGGTGAGCAAGAGTACTACGTCACGTGTTCGCGACTACGGTCGCATGAATGAGGTTTTACGCGCGACGCCTCACGTGTGCGGGCGCGAATGAATGGAGCGCCTTTACGTGTGACCGAGGCCGAGCGCCGCGCCTGCGGCCGGCGCGAAGATGAAGAATGGCCCGAGGACCTAACCCCCTCCCCTGGACCTGGGGGAAAATCCTCCTCCACGACCTTCCCGCCGTCTAACCCTTTCCGCGAGCTCCGGGCGCGCGTTCGCGGACGTGGGACCTCTTTTATCACGGATCTCTTCCTTGTTCCAGGACACCTAGCCGGACAGCACCTCGACATGAAGCAGGAGACTGAGAAGCAACCCCTGTCACCGGTCCTGAACAACAACGACCCGTCGCCGCCGTCGATGTTCTCGGGGATGGGAGCGGCCGCAGCAGCGGCGGCCGCTGCGGCGGGCTTGTCGATACTGACTCCTCAGCAACTCCTGGCAGCGAGCAGGACGGCGGCCCTGATGGCGGCAGGAATCCCGGTCTCCCTCCACGCGGCTACCCTGGCGGCCAGTCCGTCCTTGTATCGCCACCACCAGACCCTCTTCGGGGGATGGGCGGCCTCTTCGCCGCCCTCGCCTTTGAGCTACTCCTCCGGGCCCGTGTCTCCTGCTCTCAGCACCAAGTCCACCTCTCGCAGGCCTAGCAACAATAATAACAACAGCAGTAACGTTAACAACAATATGGTGAGCAGCAGTGGAGACCGGGTGACGAAGAAGGGCCAGGCGAACAAGAGGAGGACCGTCAAGGTCAAGGTGGAGGCCGCACCGACCGCGGCGACCACGACGACTGCCTCCGGCGCCGACACCGCCGTCCCGCCACTCAGTCCGCCTACCTCAGTTAGTCCAGAGGCCGGGAAGGATCCTCGCGACAAGGTCTTCACCTGCGGGGTTTGCTCCAGGTCCTTCGGGTATAAGCACGTTCTCCAGAACCATGAACGCACCCACACTGGGGAGAAACCGTTCGAGTGTGTCGAGTGCCACAAGAGGTAAGGGCTCTTTGCGTTTAATATACTAAGAAAGAAAGTGATTCGTTAAACCAAAGGGATATTTCTTTGGTTCAATGAGAATTTTTTCTAGGGTTCTTACCGGTGATCTAGGGTTACATGTCGCTTGTGTTCTCCTCAGGTTCACCAGGGACCACCACCTGAAGACGCACATGCGCCTTCACACCGGGGAAAAGCCCTACCACTGCAAGCACTGCGACCGGCAGTTCGTCCAGGTGGCGAACCTGCGCAGGCACCTCCGGGTGCACACCGGGGAACGGCCCTACGCCTGCGAACTCTGCTCCTCCAGGTTCAGCGACTCCAACCAGCTCAAGGCCCACTTGCTCATCCACAAGGGAGAGAAGCCGTTCGAGTGCGAGCACTGTCAGATGCGGTTCCGCCGTAGGCACCACCTCCTGCACCACAAATGCGGCACTCTGGGCTCCAGGTCGCAGGCACCCTCGCTGGCGAGCGACGACCTGGACGAGGAGGTGGACATTGACGTGGACGTGGAGATGGAGGAGAGGGAAGAGAAGGTGTTCGCACTAAAAGCGATACCAGGGCCCCATCATCGGCAAGCCCCGAGTCCCGCCCTGGGCGCCGCGACGAATATGTCTCTACCTCTGAACCTGTCCGGCGTCCCCGTCGACCTGCCCGAACAGACGGAACCCGAGGACCTCTCCATGTCCACCGGGATGCACCGGGCCCACTCACATTCCCACTGCAGCAGCGGAGACTCCCCGTTGAGTCGCAGCCCGAGCAGCGACATCCTCCACGAGGAGGAGGACGACGACCTGGACGTAGCTGAGGCCAGCCCCAGCTCCCTCTTCCTCAGCAGGAGCTCCTCCATTGGCTTCTACCCTCGACAATCGCATGTCCTGGAGGCCGACGTCAACGTCAGTCGGGCCTCCTAGTGCCCGGGATCCACGGAAGCCTCCTTGCGGAGATGTCGACCTCCGGCTCTGACCTACACCCTGGAACGAACAGGTCGGAGGTACAGGAGGTTTCTCAGGCTCTAGGAGAACCGGTGCACCGATGAATGCACCCGGGATCTTGCGATGATCCAAATGGAGGTGGACTTCCCTGGTACCGCTCGGCGAAGTCTGGATGACAGGATTCACCTGGACTTGGAGGACCTCATCTTCACGACCACCTTGAAACGTACAATTTCATTATTAATAACCTTTCGTTCCTACGAGGAGGACGCACCTTGATACGGGGATCCTGGGTGCAAGGAGGTAACCCATCCCCTCACCTGGAGCCTCCATGGGGATGACCCATTCCCATAAGTTCCTGAAGATGGTCTCGTCGCCATCGCACCCCCTCGGGATTCCTGGTAAACCTTAATCTAACGTTATTATTAATCCGATGAGCTGTTCAGACAATCGCTCGCCGTTATCATGGTGCACCGTTCACCCTGACCGTGGGGCTGATAAAAATGGAGGTGGATAAAAATACGAAATTTTTTTTTCGGACCCTTGAGAGGGTACACATACTATGGCAACGATTCCACCCTTTTTTATGAGCTCCATGACTCCTATGGGGTGGGTTTCCTTCCCCATATCGACGCTTTGATAAGAGTTTTTCGCCCGCCCGGGTGGGCTCGGGGGGGTGGCGACAAACGCGAATTCAGGGACTCGTTTCTTAGATTAATATTATACATATATATATATTGACCGAGTACATATAAATATATATATATGGATTATATAGTATTGTATATGTATATTATATATACTAGGCGGAAAGCGGTATCTCTTTGGGTTAGGTTATTGTGCGCTCTTTGTTGTAAATATGTCGGAAGGTGGGCGGTTAGTCGTTGTAGTTAGTGCGTCTTGTTTAACGTTTTTCTCTGTATTTTCCCTCCTTTTTATTTCCACTTTAGAATTCGTAGGAAGAGGGAAGCACGCGAGTGAATGCGAGCAGGAGGTGATCGCTATTGATTGGGAATTGATCTACCGGTATACAAGTTCCTTTGACAGTCTTATTAGTAGGGAAAGCGAAAGTCGGGTATCTCGTTCTCTGTCGCTCTCATGTACCTTGGCTCCTCTCCTCTCTCTCTTATTTCCGCTTTAGATAGTTCTGCGCCTCGCGTTAATTTTTCTCCGGCTCGGAATCGATGCTTGCGAATTTCCTTTTTTTTTTATCGATGCTTGCGATTTTTTTTTCACCGCTGTTTGCGACTCCTTTCCACACCTATGAGATCCCTTTTGCGGGGGAAATGTCTCTAACACGTTTTGTAAAAAGTTTTCCGAACGAGAAAAAAAAAAGCAGCCATTTTTATTAATTTTCTCTTGCTTTTCATTTTTCCTCCGCTTCCTCTATCCTCCGGCGTTGGGCGAATCCGGGTTTGGGAATCCAGGGGATAAGGGGATAAAAGTCCTGGCCCTTTAATTCGAGCCATTGAGGTCCTTAAAAAAGTGAGAAAGGATCAAGGAGGACCTTGGAGGACCTTGGAGGACCTCCTCGTCCTGGCCAGTACTTCGAGTCGTCCTTCGGGATTGGGTGCGCTTGTTTATCCTTTCTCCCATTGGATATGGGGTTTTCCTCCCGACCCCCAGCTTGCCCCATCCTCCTCCAGAAAGGGGTCCGGGTCCTGCGGGACTCTCGGGACTCGACGCCATTTTTCGCGAACCAGTTCCCATCTCTAGGGCCCGAAAGGCCCTGAATGCAGCTGATTTATGTCGGATGCAAATTTCGGAGCCCACCTCGGAGCTTTGTTCCTGACTCCGGGCTTGCGCGTCTCCCATTGACCGAAACCCCCGCCCCCCGGGTTCCCGAGGGATCTCCGGGACCTCTATCGGCCACAAAGACCGCCGATCCTGGGATTTCGCAAATTTAAGTCGACCCGGCCCAAATTACCCTATGGGGTTTGTGCGATTTTTTTTCGCACTCCCCAGGAGGAGTTTTGTTTAAATTGGGCATTCAACTCCCTCCGAAAAAATCTTCCCGGTCCCAGGAACCTTGAAAATTGACCTCGCCCCTTGAGAGGAATTTTTTAAAGGGAGGCATTAAACTCCTTGCATAAAGAAACGTTCCAAAGGCTCCGGTACCTCGAGTCCTTAAAATACCCCTCGAGTTCCCGAAGGAGAGGCCTTCCCAGGGATGTCTCGCGAAAGTAAAATTGGCCTCGTTTCTCTTCCCGGGAAGAGGAGGGAAGACCTCGCGAAACGTCCTCGGGAACAGAAGGAAGTCCCGCACCTCATCCCCGGGATCGTTAGGGGAGCATTCCCGACAGGAGGGCGAGGAGTCCCGAAAAAAAGCGATCCCCCCCCCTCGCCTCGACTCTCCTGACAATTTCCTGACAATTACGTATTCGCCTTGCTTTTCCTATCTCCGCTGTTTACTCTTAATGGCCGACAATGGCGAGTCCCGAGGGAAGATCTCCGTCTTCGGTGAGAAAGGGAACGTTACCTCGGTATTTCGGCAACAAGTCGCTCGACTGCACATCCTCAATCGTAGGCGATGGAATTTTCGAAATCGGCCGAGGGGGATGAAAAAACCGGCCACAATGGCGTCCCTCGGGACCCCTGAAGGAGGAACCCCCTGTCCCCCTTCGAAGGCGAAGATCCCGATCGTCTCGTTTCAGGCTTCCGCCCTGCTTTCTCTCCCTTTCTGTCCCTGTTTTTCCCTAGGTTTCCCTATTTCGCGGAAATCCGAGATTCCTCCTTCCCTCGGGAAGAGAGAAACCTTGTCCCGTGGGATGGAAAAATAAAAAAAAAATCTGGTCCGCTCGACTTTCGAAAATTCCCCGAGCCTCTTAAAATGCGATTTCCCCGGGACTTTCTCGCTTGCTCCTCCATTTCCACGCTCTCTCACCCCGTTTCCCATATTCTGGAGTTCCCTCTTCCCGGATCCTCCGGAGAATCTGGAGCGACACGAGGACGTGGGAGACCTCGACCTCGCGACACCTGCGCGTTGCGAAACCGCACCACGAAGCAGTTGTACATATAAAGGGAGGAAGTCCCTTGCGGAGTCCTAGAAACGCGAGTCCTTGGTTCCTTCTTCTTCTTATTTATTTTTTTTTTTTTCATATTTTTTCTCTTCCCCCTTTTCTCTCTCTCCCTTTCGGAGGCTCCCGAAGGCGCGGACGCATAAATCATGCGAATCGTGCGCAGGTGCCGCGAGCAAGAATTCGCCAACCGAATGCTATTGTCGCCGATTCGCCGGAGGAAGAACAAAGCACGAGGAGAACCGGTCATCCCGTAGGAAAGCTGCGAAACCCCGTGACAAAAAAGGGGGAGCTTCTTTACGGGAACCTCCTGTCAAAAGTCGCGTAGCAAAAAAAAAGGAGCGAAAGAAAAGAAATTGAGAAAAGTGGACCGCGAGAAAACAGAAACCAAATATCGAATTTCCTCCGAGCTGATCGGCGCTTTAATTTCCCTTCTATTTTAGTTTTTTTTTTTTTTTTCCCTCGCAACCAGTGTTCCTGCAAATAGTCCCTAAACGTTTACTAATTACCTCGAGATTGGTCCAGAGGGAGAGGAATTTTTTTCCGACTCGAAAATCGATCCTAATCGATCTCTCGACGGATCGCCTCTTGTCCTACCGTCTCTTTACGATTTTATTATCATTAATATTATTAATATTATTAACTATTGTTGTTGTCTTATAATTCTTAACGACAGATTGGAGATATATATATATAGATGAGTATATATATATTTGTGTCAAATTGTATAGACGCGGAAAAGGGTCGCACTCTAAGTCGGGGATTTCCTTCGAAATCGCCGTGTCGCCATTTCGCGACAGGATTTACCTAATTATTATCGCATACCGACGTGTATACTCCTCTATACGTATTGTCGTGTTTAACTATAGCGCGTAGTTCTAATTTTGTACAGCCGATCCAAATACTAATGGTTAATATATATATATATATTTAAATATATATATACACGAAGTTCGCGGTTGGACGCGCCTGCGTTTCAGCGCGTGCAGCGCCGAGGGCACACACTGATAAAAATCCATGTAAATTTGCATAAATTTTCTTACACACCTCCGAGATAAGATTTTACATTGAAAGATGGGGAATCTACCCGCTGCGAAATATATAGCTACCCCTAACAAATTTATCGTGCATTTTAACTGGAATTAAATGTAATTGATAAGATTACAGAGTAAATTGAAATTTATTGCGACTTAGAATTAACCAACGAGTGTGTAACATTTACATGGAGATTTTTATCGGTGACTTTTTGGAGTTTAGAATTTTTCTCGATTAAATGTGAAAAATCTTTCTTTTCACGTTTCTCCGTGGAAGGTGATGGGGGAGTATTTTTCTCCTTCTTTTTTGGTTACATGGGACTGCATTATTTTTCCATCGTGCACCGGCGTTGCATCTCGCTCGAATCCTCGCACACGCAACGAGACACGGTACAAAACTCAGACCTTATTAAGGATACTAAGAGTCGGGCAGAGTTTCGCGCCAAGTACACTGGTAGAGCCTCGCGAAAGCTAGGGAGTTCTTTACGGCTAGGTTAGGTGAAAATTCCCTCGACGAATTTGATTCCCTTTATCCGACTGGTTGGCAGGTTATCAACTAGGCTTGTCAATATCTCTAACCGGCTTTCGCAAAGGTCGCTACCTTCTGTAACGAATATATCGAGATAAGGATATTAACGTGGCCGCCAGGAGAGAATCCTCCGATAACGAGGTCGAGGGCGTGTTAAATTAAGAGAAGAAATATGTTACGTTGCTCCTTCACCCTGTGGAAACGATTTTTCCGCGGGGCCAAGCTTTCGTAATAATTTCCTGGTTTCGTTTTTAATTAAAAAAAAAATTCTTTTATTTCATCTTTTCGTTCCGTCATGACAAGGGAGAGGAGAGATCTCGTGGAGGCCACCGAAACGCGTATACTATGAAACTGACACTACCTCACCATACACCTAATATATCTCAACCACAAGACTGA